ATATATATATATATATATATATATATATATTTGCTGCCCACTGCACGAAGAAGCAGCAACTGCTGCTGCTGCTTTTGCTGCTGCTGCATTTTTGCTGCTGCTGCATTTCCTGCTTATTTTGCTGCTGCCTCTGCTGCTGCTTCTGTAGCTGCATTTGCTGCTGCATCTACTGCTGCAGTTGCAGCTGCATTTGCTGCTGCATTAGCTGCTTCAATTGCCGCTGCGTTTGCTGCTGCAGCTGCTGCTGCGTTTGCTGCTGAAGGTTAAATAAGCGTTAATAGCCAGGGGGGCAGCAAATATTAGTAGTGCATGCATGCAGACGTCTGTTCATAGACAGTATAGGGTCGTAGATTCTTTTTTCATAGTTGTTTGTGCGACGTACATACACCGGAGGTGCTACATAAGAATCTGTCGGCAGTTTATATTCTTTAGGCTTCATAAATGTTTGTAATTGTTTATAATATATCCCTTGGGTGTATGCATCTCCAGGTACGTTCGCCTCTGCATGCACAAAGAAAAAAAAAATAAATATAAATAGTGTTTAACAACTCTAATTTATAAACACTTGTTTTGCTTTGTATTATATTCATAGCTTAGCTACATATAATTATATATATAAAGATATATATATATATATATATATATAGAACATACATACATATATACATATGTACATATATGCATGCATATATAGATTATAGATATTATATATATTCTTTTAATTAATTAATTATTTAGTTTATTATGTGTTTGCTTGTTATTATTATTTATTTATTAGTGCAGGTAATGCTGCTATGTACACACGGGGTGTATGTGCATATACACCCCAACGCTCACAGTAACAGTAATACAGACAACAATAAAAACAGAAAATAATAAAAATAACAAACAGAACAATAACAGCAACAATAACAACAACAAAGTACTACTACTACTACTACTACTACTACTGCTGCTTCTACTGTTGCTGCCGTTGCTGATGCTGCTGTTGCTGTTGCTGTTGCTGTTGCTGTTGCTGTTGCTGTTGGTGCTAGCTAGGACATGATAAGTTTGTGTTTGCAAGCATGCAAGCATGCATGCATGCATGCATGCATGCATGCATGCATGCATGCAGTGATTTGAAGGTATAGCTTACGAATATTTCTAGCAAAGAAAGCCGTATCTTCTTCGCCTGCAGGTATATACGACTTCCATCGTCTTATAACAGTTTGTGTGTTATGTCGCCGCAGACGATCCCAGTAGGTGAAGTCTTTAGTCTCGAACGTAGATATTCTTTTAATAAAACCATCAGCATCTGTTTCTGTAACAACTTCTTCAAGGGGTTTAATAGGAGGAGGAGCACCGAACTGCCTATACACCTCATCTGCATGCTTAGATTCTGCTCGTTTCAGCATATTGCTGTAGTTTGTTTCTTCTTCTTGTATTTCCCTGTCTATTGCTTGCATATATAATTCTCTTTCTTGTAACTCCTTTAACTCTTTTAACTCGTCTTGTGATAATGTAGATAAGCTGTTTAAATGCATCAGTCGCTGCTGCTGCTGCTGACGCTGCTGCATCATTTGCTGCTGCTCAGATGCAAATACAGCAGCTGCAGCCTTTTCTTCTTCTTCGTCTTCGCGTGCTGTTGCCTCTGTTGTCGCAGCCAGAGAAGAACACCAAGACCGCCAAAAAGATTCATCTCCGGGGTGTATATACACCGATGCATTTACTATTCTTAATTCATTCAAGTGAGGCATCTACTACTTGCTACGTAAACTGCATTATATCTACCTAAGCAGTTGTGTGCATGCATGCAGAGAGAAGAAACACACGAATAAACACCCTTTCTTCCTCCTCTTTCCTTCTCTTGGCGTCCGTAATAATAACACAATACCACCAGCAGCACCAGCAGCAGCAACGCCAGCCCTAGGGCTATATAGAAAGTCTTATAGTAAAGGTAGTTTCTTACCTGAAGAAGCAGAAGAAGAGCTGTTCTTACACTCCACTGCGTGCACAGTCACGAGGTTTGCTGGATTCCCCTGTTGTTGTACATTGGAGGGCAGTGGTGTGTCGTCTGCCCTTATAACGACCGACAAAGAGGGGGTTGTGACGGTAAAAGAATCCAGAACAGGGATCTTTCCTTCCATTTTGACTTGAAAATGATAAATAAAGTACAATAAAAAGGAAAAATCAAAGAAAAGCGATAAAAGTTTACCTGAAAATGCCTTCAACCTGAAATATGAATCGGTGGCGGCGTTGACTGCTACCGTTGATCCAGTAGAAACCGGGAAAATAAGAGGAAATCAAGGGGATGAAAGACCTTCTTAAGGAAGTAAATGCAAAATAATACCGAAAAATGAATACTTTATTCAAAAGAAATGAAAGAAAGCTGTGCTTCTTCTTCAAACCCATCGTGATGTTTCTTCTTCTCATCTCAACGCCTCGCTAGCAAACACCACCGGCTAGCGGGGGTCTTACCACTGTGGATACGAATTTCTTTGGTTTCTCTGATTAAAAGAAGAATTATAAATAAAATTGAGAACATATTACACAAAAATAAAAAGAAATACTTCTAGAAAAACATCAATCTCAGTCGCTCTATAAAAACAACAAATTCAGGTGTATGTACACCTCAGATCGACTCGGTGGAAACAACTCCAAAAAGCATCACACGAAAACATTTGTAGAGGTTGCACACCCCAGTAAATCAATAAAATATACTTTATTTATACTATTATAAAGAGGGAAAAGCAAGAAAAGCTGTTGTTATTCTTCATTATTATTCAAAGAATAATGCAAGGAAAGTGTTTATTTAGTCTTCAGTGTTGTACACAGTCATCGACTGGTCTAAAGACAGACATTCTTTGATACTATTCAGTGCCCCTCTTACGCTGCCATATAACCATAATATTCAATGTTTTAATGCAATATTTCTTTAAAAACATCTGTAAACCCCTCCTCTCTCCCCGATCTCTTCTCGTATGCAGCGAATGAAGTCCTAGGCGCTGCGAGTAGAGGAGGCAGCTTAAGTGTATATATATATATATATATGAAGCACCTTGCTGCATGCAACTACTGCTACAGGTCGTCTATACACCTGAGAACAATTAAACGCTTTTGTGCTGTCTGCCCGAACAGTGCAGATAACACATCTTTTCTACTTACTTTTTCTAGAAAAAGAGGCTGCTGCCTATGAAGACAGCAAAGAAAGCGTTCATCTACCCCCCACACTGAAAGAAGTACTTCCTTCAGACTCTATATCTCTATCTGATTATATATATATATATATAAAATATATATATAGCAAATATATATTATAAATGCATATATATTAATAATTATATATATACATATATGTACATATAAAGAATTGTTGTTTACGTGTTTGTTTGTTTGCTCGCTTGTTAATAAACCAAGCCGCAATAAAAACAAACGAAAATATACAGCCTAATTATATTTTAATTAGCTTTTGTTTCTTCCAGTGTCTGCACGTACACCCGAAGTGATATGCAAAAGAAATTATGATGTACATGTTTGTTGTTGTTAATAAACAACCCTTAATGATAATAAATATATCTTTATCTGCCTCCCTAACATTAATCAATCTCTAATGAAAACATAATCTTTATGTTTTCTTAATACGCATTTATAAGCATAAATAATTAAAAAAACAAACAGGAGACGAACAACAGATTATACACAACACACAGGAAACGAGGTAAAGGCCGAGAGGCTCGTCTGATCAGCACACATATAATACATGTCTAATGCTGCTGCTGCTGCTATTGCTGCTGCTGCTGCTGTTGCTGTTGCTGTTGCTGCTGCTGCTTCTGCTGCTGCTGCTGCTGTTGCTGCTGCTGCTGCTGCTGCTGCTGTTGCTGCTGCTGCTGCTGAGGTGAACACCCCACACCGATTTATGCAAACTCCAAAATCTTCGTCACACGCCCAGCAGCGATAGTCTTCCCTGCATATAAAAATAAAAAAATTAATAAACAATAATAAATAATAAATAATAATAATTAATAATAGCAGTAGTAATAATAATAATAAATGATAATGAAAAGCCTAATAAGAAGAGGACGATAAGCAAAGCTATTATTATCCTGTTACAGTCTCACCAATATATATAACATATAATATTTTTGTTATATATTTAATGTATTTATTATATATCTTATATACATATTATATTCTATATATACTATATATATAATATGGTGTATAAACAAAGCAAATAAACAATAAAATAAACAGTCAAACAAAACCTCAAAACAAACAAACAAATTGCATAATAGAAAGCAAAACCAATAGTAAGAAATAAAATACTAATAATAATAATAAAGTTAATAATAAACAAATAAATAAAATATAGTTATTAATCTTACCTTCATCTCTAAGAGTAAAGCGACCCAGTTGCGAGCAGGCTTCATACTCCTCCATGCACATCGGCTTCGACAGCTGTAAACAAATAATATTTATATTTATAATGTATATATATATACATTTACTTTTATTTATTATATATTTATTTATATTTATTTGTTTATAATATATACTCCTGCTTATTCTATTTATGTTATCATATATATATATATATATATATATATATATATATAATATACACTCTACACTGTTTCATTTGTCTGTGCTTGTTTGTCTTTAGGGTTTAGGGTTTAAAGATTAGGGTTTAGGGTTTAAAGATTAGGGTTTAGGGTTTAGGGTTTATAGCTGCACATACAGCCGAAGAGACGCACCATAATTTCAATGCTGATGAGACAGTCGCTCGTCACAAACTGCGGGTTTGTTTTTTTCTTCTTGCCGTCAGAAGACTCTAAGCAATATCATCATAAATATATAAATAAATATATAAATATATATATATATATATATTGATATACATATATATATATAAAGATACTGATATATAGATATATAGGTATACATATATGGATGAAGATATATATATACATAGATATATAGATATAGATATAGATATATAAATATATAGATATATTAATACTCATCAAATATAACAACTATAATATATATATATATATATACATGTATAGTTTATGAAAGATAAAGAAAGCAAGGGCTATACGGGTTAATAAAGATTAGTATTTGCTCTGAATGATTAGAGAGTACTGACAAATTATAAATTATTATTGATGAGGGTTAATTGCATGAAGACGCCTACCGAGTATCTTTCCTAGCATAACTTCTTCTCTTGCAGTATGTACATGCATAACGCATGTATATCCAGCTGTTAGAAGAGGCCGATGTTCTAACAGCTCCATGACCTTCATAAAGGCTAAGATTTTGCATGCAACAGGGCAAGGAGACAGCGAGCAGCACAGCACTGTACCGCTGCTTAAAGCGTCTTCTTCAACTCCTAATAGCTTTATACGTACATTCTCTCCTACTGAAGCAAACCCTACTTCTCCTTCATCTATATATACACCTGAAACCTTCACGCGCTTCTTGCTTGGCATCAGTATTGCCTGCATTAATCAATACATTCAACGCAACTAATATATATATATATATATATATAGGTGTATATATATATATATATATATATATAGGTA